AAAAAAAAAAAAAAAAACAAGTATTTTTTCTTATTTCAAGTGCATATTATCTAATTATCTTATTTAAAGAGTAAAAATCCTCATTCCATTGGCAAATCATCTCATTTACATGCTCAAATTATGGGTAGATACACTTAATTTTAGATATTTTTACTCATATTTAGATCGTTTTTGCAGTGTGGGCAAATCTCTCCGTACGCAAAAAAGGATTCTTCTTCTTCCTCTCAGATAAAAACCCAGAACATGGCGGAGGTGCGAGTAAAACTGAGTTCTTTCTGTAAAATTGACAAACCGTAGTAGCCGTGTTTGCTCAGTCATGTCTTTGTCCAAATACGTCGCTTTTTCTTTTTAGGGCTTTCAGCACAAATATGCACAAATTGCCAAGGCAGCGAGTTTCACTCTAGTGGCTTCCGGATAGACGAGTACAAGTAGCGCCATCTCACTGCGGAGCTGAGTCCGAAGTGGTTTTTAGACGTACAGTGTGAGCAGGTAGATCGCATCAGAGCGTCGGGTCATACAGAGTGAGAACAAACATCGTGAGATATGAACTTCTAAACCCTGCGGTTTCGTCATCATCTGAGCTGTAGCTGCGTGCAACGATTTTAAAAAATCGTACAGCGTATGCCCGGCTTAAAACAAACTGGAATCTGTTTCCTACATATAAACTTCTACGTGGTAGAGAGTAAACACTGATGAAACTCACTCAATGAAGTAGACTTCTCCTTTCTCAGTGTAAGCCATCTCCCAGTTGTCAGGCAGGGGTCCAAGCTCGTCATTTTCCTCTGGTTTGGGGACCACCATCTTCGGGGACTGGCCGTCCTCTTGGGTCACCTCTGCTGGGGCCTCTGCTGGGTTGCTCTGAGGTGCGACGTCCCCCGAAGCATCCGTGCTCTTTTCCTCGTGTTCGCTCGACTCTGAGGCGACAGCAAGGCAGGGATGAATCAAAACTGACGTTCTCAGAAGGGACGGACAAGAGGTGAGGAGAGGACAGTGAAAGAAGACGAAGAATGTGATAAAACGAAACAAGAAAGTGACGGATTGAGCCAGGATGGAGGCATAAATAAAGGAACTAGGGATTGGAAAAGGAAGCAGTGACTCAGGGGAAGGAGAGGGAGGCTAACGAGACAGAAAGATGAATAAAGGAGAGGAGACAGTAAAGATTGAGACAGAAGCAGGCAGGGATGCTCTACTTTGAGTTGTGGTAGTTTGTGAAAGTGTCACAGGAAGAAAAATGGGAAGAGATGGCAAATGTCTCTTTCCCAGAGGAGATCTGGAGGAGGAAGCGGAGAGAAGGGGACAAATGAAAGCGAAGGGATTGAGAGATAATCTAAGGGAAGGAAAGTGAGAGTTAGAGACCCGCTCAGATCACAGAGACCGCTGTGCTCTATTGATTCCCCTTCAGCTGTGCTGGTCAGACCATACTGTCCATCTACAGACACACGCGGCTCCTATTGAGCCGAAAGCAGCGGCAGGAAAGCTCCATCCAACATGCTCAGAGCCCTGAGGCAGAAGTTACTGAGCATCTTTACACCACCGAAGGGAACCCACTGAGAATATTTCCTGCTCTCCTGTCTCGGTTTAGCTCCTAGCAAAGCCGGCGTTTAGACTAATCTGAAACGTTTAGAGCAAAATTTACATCATTTCCACATGAGGTTATATAGCCTCTACAGTTTATGATTCATGCACAGTCTGAAAACATCATTTTTTAACTCCAACTCGTATGGTTTTCTGTAGATTAGTCATTTTATTTATAACTTTGAATTATTTCAAATCTTACACTGCAAAAAATTGAAATCTAAGTAAGTTTATTTTTCTTTAAAAAAAGAGCATTTCTTTCTTGAATTAAGCAGTTAAGTGATACACTTTGCCAATGGAATAAGGCAATTTACATCTAAAATAAGAAAAAACAAGCGTTGTCTTATTCCAAGTGGATATTATCTAATTATCTTATTTTAAGAGTAAAAATACTCATTCCATTGGCAAATCTTATTATTTACTTGCTTGAATTATGCTAAATACATTAATTTTAAGACATTTTTACTCGTTTCCAGATTGTTTTTGCAGTGTAATAACCAATTCATTTAATTTAACTAATTGGAAGGAACACACATGTAATATTTCCAGATAATTTAGAGATGCATAACATCTTGCAAAATTTTACTCACAGTATCTCAATATTTCTGCATCCAACATTCATTTTGCAGGAATTGCTTGGATTAAATAAATGTGAGCTGATGTTTTAGACAATCAGGTGGGGCAAATAACCAAGGCAATCAGAATGCACCTGGTACAGGTCAAGTGGGACTGCTTCCACATCTGCTCGACTGCTCCGCTCACGTACGTCGTGCAAAGTACTTGTCTGTCATGTTAATCAAAGAGAACTGTTCCACATCCACCTAGGGCTGGGTACCAAACTTCGGTTCTTTTATGGTACCGACCGAAATGCTTCGGTTCTACAGAGTATCGAAA